GGGCGGGGAAGGCCCCCTACCCAGCCTCCTCCGGGCCCCGCGTCGGCGGGCCGCCGCCGGCGCCGGCCAGCGGGCAGCCGATTGGCTAGAGGGAGCAGGAAGGCGGGAAGTGCGGGCACGAGGAGGGCTTTCATTAGCGGCTCTGGGAAGGGGGCTGGCTGAAGCGGGGAAGGGCGGAGGGGTCGCTAAGGTGAGTGGAGCGCCGGCCGGGGCGGAGAGGGAAGCCCCCTGGGGGGAGGAAGCCCCTCCCCTGGAGGGCGGGGCGGGGCCACGCCTCGGGACTGGGAGCCCAGCGGGGCAGAGACCTAGACAGGTGGGGGCTCCTGCAGCCACGGCTGCGCTCACCCGGGGCTTCTTACTCCGGTGTTGGCTACAAGGCGGTCGGCTATCATAACCAGCTCCCTTCTGCCCCATCACGAACCACGGGAGAAATCTGCGGAGGAAGGGCGCCCAGAAACCCGAGCCATTTCAGAAACCTCTGAATTCAGAACAAGCCGGGAAACGGAGTTATTCCCTTTGGCAGGCTTCTGGCAGGAGTGGGGCATGATTAACCCTTATTCATCTCGGGTGGAACTCGGCACTCGTATTTCCAGTTTTCTTTTAAACGTGTTTGCCTGGCTTCGCGCTGGAGTGGCCCCTCTTTGCCCCGCAGAGTTCAGGAACTGCCCTTCGGCTGCCCTCGGATCCACGTCACACGCGTGGACTCTGCCATGCCCAGACGCGGACCCTGACTTTGGACCCTGTGCAATGCTTAACTGTCTTAATCTGGGCTAACTTGGGGGGGGGGACCAGAAACTAACCCAATTGCCTGGATCAGGCCTCTGCCCCCAGTGGAAACCAATTAAGCTTTGCGCGGGGTCCAAAGGCAACAGCTGCATGCGTAACTAACTGAACAAGCCTCAACCTCAGAAAAAGGACCGATTCGATAACCAGGCTACCGGACGCAGTCGGCCGAGCAGGAGAAGCAGAGGGGCAGCGACTCAACCCCAAGGCTTCGGAGGCTGAGCGGTATTTGGACCTGGGCCTCCCTGATCCTGGGTCTAACTACCCCACCCTTGGTTACATCGTCCCGCCACTGTCAGGAAGTGCATGGTTAGAAACAGCGCCAGGGAGCGCTGTGCGCCAAACATACCTGAGACACAAATATATACTGTACTGAGGCAGGCCTTTTTCAAACCATTCCTTTCTAGCATGAAGTCATTTTAATGGGGGGTGGGGGGGGGAAGCTAGGCCAGCTCAGCCTGCTAAACGGATGGCTAATTCCGCCCCGCCCCCCAAAACACTTACGCACTTTACTTTTCAACTGGATTGGGATCGCTCTGCCCTGAAGCAGAACGTTTTGACACCGACATTCTGCTTCGTGATGCTCTGAATCACCTCCCATTACCACGCCCTTTCCAATGACTATTCAGAACTTGTTTCGTTTTCACTTAGTGCCGGGAGTCTCTTTCTGAACGTAACAACTAAGAGCAGAAATATCTTCTAACCTGGAGCTTCCCGCAGGACCCTGTTCCATCTTCCTCCAGCCGCCGCCTCCGTTTTCCGAGCTTCACCATGGCTGACGGCGAGGACGTTCACGGCTTGAAAGGCGTGCTGGTCATGTTCCAGAGCTGTTTGGACAGCAAGGAGGAAATCCTCATGGACCCATATTTAGAGGGCTGGAAGGGACTGGTCAGGTAAGGTTCATCGCCCGGTTTGACCTAGCTTCAGAATGCCTGATCCGTTCTGCGACTGGGGAGAAAAATAAAATTGCTGGGATTAGAATACCTTAGAGAAACCAGTAAAAAAATCAAGCTGTTTTCTATATGATAGGCTAAACTTAAGAGTTCTGGCTTCTTGGACAGACTGGGCTCTTGTTTCTAGGTCAGATCAAAATCTTTTAACCAGAGTTCCAGTCTCACCTAGCTTCTTCCAATGTTGGGTGTTCGGTGTTTTGGGAGCCCAGTGCCTTAACCACACTGCAAATGAGTTGGCCACTCTTTACGCTCGCATACCCCGGAAAAATTTTGTCATTTGAGTAAACCAGAGTTAAATGAACCCGGAGGAACAGGTCATGTGAATAAAGCCACTGCTTGACCCAATTAAAATTGGGCTCAAACCTCAGCTTTGGATTCTGCAATCTTCAGTTTAGAAAGGTGATGAAACAAAGGTTAGCAAGAGATCTTTTCATCATAGCTGTCATGCTCTGTACAGACAAACCTTAAGCTTATCCGACAACATTTTAGTTCAGATTTCACCCCGTGAGAGATGTTCAGTTGCTTCCAAGGCAGTCTGGACAACTGATGTAATTACACAAAGGATATAAATTACAGAAAATATGCTAATTACCTAAACTCGGATTTAATGAACACCCTTCCACTCCCATGCGTTTGTTAAACTGAGATTTCACTGTATTCCACTTCTCTTTCTCACGTGAACAGCGGAAACATTTGCTCTGCTCGGAGACACTGGGCCTGGGTGTGCCCACTGTTCCTCGGACCCTGACTCCCGCTAGCCCAGCCAACATGTCCAATAGTCGTTGCAGCTTGACAGAATCTGGAAGGGGGTGTAAGTTCCTGTTACTTTATTGTGACGACAACATCTTCTTTTTTTCCCCATGGAGGTTTCTAAACACAATGGGGCCGATCTTCTCCTTCATTTCCAAAGATGCGGTTGCCAAAATCCAGATCATGGAGACCTTCCGCGGCAGCGAGCAGCAGGAGAATTACATCAGCCTCCAAGCCATGGTGAACTATGAACTGACCAATGGGCTGGTTGACCTGAAGCAGCCTGGCACCTACCCCACCTCGGGCTGCCGAACTATCCTTCGCCTCCACCGGGCCCTCCGCTGGCTGCACCTGTTTCTGGAGGGCCTGCGGACTAGCAGCCCGAGCTCCAAGACCTCGACACTGTGCACAGACTCCTACAACGCCTCCCTGGCCAACTACCACCCGTGGATCATCCGCAAGGCAGCCACCATGGCCTTCTACGCCTTGCCCACCCGGGATGCCTTCCTGGAAAACATGAAGGTGGGCACCACAGAGGCGGCGATAGAGATGCTCGGCGAGGCTCTGCCCAGCATAAGCAGGGTCTACGATATCACGGAAGACCTCTTCACTCAGCACAAGCTCCTCGACCTCCCCTAAGGGGACAGGGCCGTCCGAGGGCAACAGCTACTGCGCGGATTGATGCTCCTGCCGCAGAGGCCCGCTCAGAAATAATCTCCTGCTCTTGTCAATCAGGCTTCCTCTTGGAAAGCTCTCAGGCCTTCAAGCCGTCCCTGCTTGGGTTTCTGGCCCTGAGATAAAAAGCCTTTATGCTGTTTCCCCAGTCAGAAAGCAATTGCTGCTCTTCTGCCCTTTTTCCTTCTTCCAAAAGCTTTGATCCAGAGATGCATCCAGTCCCTGATCTCTCTCGCTCTCGCTGCCTCCCGCAGCATTCTTCCAATCCAATTAACCTTGAAAAGGGTTTTAATTGCTGGTGAAAATAGGGCAGGGGAATTTCTTCTGCTGTGAGGAAGACATCTGATCTGAACAGCTCCTCTTGCCTGGGTTTGGTTGAGCATTCTGTCCACCCACCAACAAGCATATGGAGGTGGGGGGGAGCTTCCAGCCCAAGGAATGCAGGCAGCTAATTTCACTGGTCCTTTTGATAAGGGTTTGAACACAGCCAATGGTTAGGGAGCTGGGAAAACATGGATGCTTTTGATCAAGAGACATCTGTGATCGCTTAGAGCAGGACTAGGCAAAAGGAGCCCTCCCAGGAGTTCCTGAGCCCTCTCTCTCGGCACCCCCCATCTCACTGAGGCAAAGGATGCTGGGAGTCATAGTTCACCATCTGGAAGCCTACTCCTGAAAGCAGTTTTAAGCGTAGACGTGTGCTTGAGAAAGAAACGCCCAACACAATCTAACTGTTGATCCTCTGCCAAATTTACAAGAGGAGGAGGAGGTGTGTGAAACCCGCGTGAACAATCTCTCTTAAGGCGGGATGCTTAGCCAGCCTCTCCCTTCGGTTCATGACGTATTGACAAGGATACATTAGGTGGTTTCGAAAACAATCCTGGTTATTATCCATGTGCTGATTACTTGACAGTTGCATCATCACCCAGCAACTGGAAAGCATGCAATCTTTGTAACCAGAAGAAAAAAATTAGCAGCTAAGACAATCCGTTGGTTACCACTGACGAAGCAAATCGGGTATTCCAGCTCTCCTTTTCAAAATGCCCGTTCTTTCATCATCTTCTTTCCTGGTTACCTCCTAACGCTTCACGCATTGCTGGCCCCTAACCTTTCTCCCTCCACACTCAATCCATCTGGGCAGCACACTTAAGCCTTTAATCAGCCTTGGGCTGCACCTTCACGCTCCTACGCAAGGGCACTGGCCTGGCTTTGAAAGTGGCTTAAACCAAGCGAGAGAATCCACGCCTCTATGGCTTCACCGCTTCCCTTGACAACTGAAGTATTGGGCAAGTTCTGTTCTGTACACCCAAAGCATGCCCCTCAAGCAGTACGCTGCTATGTCTAGAGACTAAAAGACATACTTTCTGCGCTATAGGCCAAAAAGAAGAAAAAACACGGAGCCACCAGTGACTTGAAGATCTGATTCCCTTATAGATCCAGTAACCAATCTCCACCCTTATTGGTAATACAACTTTATTGCAACTTTAGACAGCGAGGAGGCGGCGGGGGCATAAACTGAGAAGCTACGTTTCTGCTTTTAAGGAATCCTCACATACCCCTTTTAAAGCAAGGGCAGGATTTAAAACCAGTATTCCTTCGTTTGTAGTGAGAAGCCACCGTGCCGCTTGCAGTTCTCAAGGCTCTGCCTCTTCCTTCGGTTGTATGTGTGGCCACACCGGGACTGTGATGTCTGCATGTCCACTTAGAATTTTATCTCTGAAGCTTTTTAGCCCAATCTTGAAATAGGCATCCCTTGTGCTTTAGCCCCACTGAAATGAGAGGGCGTGAGCTTAGACTCACCCCAAACAAATTAAGCTCCTTAGTTTCAGTGGACTCTGAGCAGTGGACTCTTTTCCCCCCGGATTATGGCCTGAATCTCTGCCTGCAATTTTTTTTTTTTTTCTTAAAGGGGATTGGGGGGAGCCCTGCCTCTTTCACTCCAAGACTTAACATTAAAAAGCACTGAAACCAGGCACAGATTAAATCTGCTGCTGTACCTCTGAAATTAAGACAATCCAGGAATGTTTGTTTATGTGTGTCTTTTCGAAGTGGGATCTGTGTGTATATATATTTTTGTCACAGTGATTTGGGAGGATTCCATGTTGTATTTATTTCTGGGCACCAACGTATTTAAGGTATATTTTTGTATTTTCTACCTCTTGTCTGTTTAAATTATAAGTGCTTTGTTTTGGGGTGCCCTAAGGAACTTGCACCTAAAGCCTGGATGTACTCTGCAATGACTCCTGTCCTTACCTCTTGCACTGCTCAGCCTGAAATAAATGTCTATCCTGCAGCTTGAAGCCGACTGTTCTCTTTCAGGAGCTCTGACAGCTGGAAGATTGCAGGGAACAAGTTAGGGACAGAAAGGCCCTTCTCTCCATCTTCACCCCACACCCCATGACCCTCCTAGCTTTTTATAATAAGATTAGACCGGCCTATCCCATTCCAAGCAATATATTTGGGAACAGATCTGAACAGGGAGACTAATTAAATGGAGCAAACTGCCCTCTTTAGCCAGGTATTGTCAGGTTGGGGGGGGTGGAGGGAGGGAGGGGCCAGTTGGGCCCTAGATTCAATTCTAGGGCGAACAGATCTCTTGGACTGACCTGGATCGACAGCCCATCCTGGCAATTAAGCTCAGTCCAACCTCCAGCATATCCCACCAACTTTGGCTGTTTTAGCCCAGCTGTTGGGTATGGAAGCCCAGCCTGACCCAAAATCACAGCATACAAGTCCTTTTTTAAGTCTCCGAGAAGCCAGATATTAATGTTCAATCTCCTACACACACACACACACACACACACACACACTCTTCATGCCACAATGTGTTTACATTTTTTCTTCTCCACAGTCCTTCCTCTGTTGAAGCCAATAGCCTGGGAACAAGAACATCCAGAGAAACCCTCAAGTGTTCCAGGGGTTACATTTTCCTCCTTCGTTTTAATGAAGACCAGGCCATAGGATCATTTCAAAAATTGAGCTGTAGTTGGTATAGCTGAGGAGGGACCGGGGGCCGAAAGGCCAGGGGCACATGAACAGGAAGGAAATTCATGCTGGCATCCAGGCCATTCCAAAATAGGCTGAGATCCAGCAGGCGGGGAGCAAGTCCCCTGTCTTGATATTCTGCCACAAGAGTAGTGCCAGTCCAGGGAACGTTTAGAGAGATCTCAGTCAGGCAAATAATTCATTCAAACCACTCCAAATGGACAAGACTGGGCATGCCACAATTTGCACATGTTATTTGCAATTCTTGGATATGGTTCCAAGTTTCAGCAATTACAGGAAGAAGGACTTGATGGCTTTGGGGTCCCCTCACCCCAAAAAGCTGCTCTCCTGGACATGGACAGAACATTTTGGGGTCTGGATAAAATTCAGCAATGCAAAAGATAATTTAATCATTTCAAACATTGGGCTTCATCATTTGATCGGGGGACTGAATGCACGGCATCGTAATATGTATTACCATAGCAAGTCACAGACATTTGGTGTTTGGGGATCCTGATATTTGCCCCGCAGTTCTACCTGTTGAGAATCCAGATATTTCCCCTTGGGGAGCACCTCCAGTTTTGTATTCAAACTTCAGGGAGAGGAAACACAGAAGATCTGGAACATGGTTTGCCAAGCAGTTCAGGGTGGAATATGGTATTAGCACGGGGGACAGCCAGACCTTCCTCCACACCTATGGGAATGTGATATTTTGCTAAACAAATTTCCTTAGGACGGTCCCGCCCTGCAACTTACAATTCTTTTTAGTGTTCTAAGAGGGTTCCAGTTGTGGTGAACTGCGGTTTACTCAAAAGCTGCTTTTCAAAGCAGGCCAGGAAAATGACGCTTTTGCTAATGCTCGGCATCACTTTCGACTGGGCCTCAGCCCAGGAGCATCACTGCATGTCTTCCCAATTTAGGAGGCCTGGTGACTATATCTTGGGTGGCTTATTCCCTTTCAGAGTTGCTCCTACCAACCTGTCCACCCAGATTCTGCCAGAGCTTCACAACTGTGGGAGGTAAGAACAAAGCCAGTAGAAGTGAGTTATGAGAGGCAAAGATCCAGGGTTTTTTTTAGGGTCCAGCTGAACGCTCAGCAAGGACAAATAAATACAGAAGTGCAGCAGCAAACTTTTGTTCTCAGTGACCGCCAACCACACAGCTACGGTCTTTTCCAAGCAAGTCTTGGAAAAGACTTTCTTTGATTTTCTGACTTCCTGTCCAAAGGCCAAGTTAATCTTTGGGATGTTTTAATGACACTGATTTTGGTTTTAACTGCAATGATTTTAGACAAATAAATACAGAAGTGCAGCAGCAAACTTTTGTTCTCAGTGACCGCCAACCACACAGCTACGGTCTTTTCCAAGCAAGTCCGTTCCATTCTTTGATTTTCTGACTTCCTGTCCAAAGGCCAAGTTAATCTTTGGGATGTTTTAATGACACTGATTTTGGTTTTAACTGCAATGATTTTACAGCTACGTTTTGCATTTTGCTTTACTGATGTAAGCTGCCTTGAATGCGTCCTTGAGCCGGAAAGTGGGCACAAAGCTAATA